AAGGGGGGGGGCTCTGGAGAAAATAAATTAATGTCCATCTCCACTGCATACAAATGCATTTTTTTTCACGGTTAATTTGTTTGCCCGCTAAATCGTGAGAAAAATATTTATATTTTTACAAGGTGTTTCCGTTTCTTATCACTTCAGCTTCATTTTGTCAACTGAATAATTTATAACCCCTACCAAAATAGTCAGTTAGGGAAGGTGGAAACAGACCATAAATCAATCTTCTTTCTAACCCCACCACTCCCCCCCCACACACACCCCACTTCCCCATTTTTTGCTTCTATAGGAAAGAACGCTTATACAACTACTCACCTGAATTATTGGCTCCGAACATGAGCATTTCACACGACAAGATAAAGCTCCACTGGACCCTGCAATCAGCGTCTGGTTCTCGACTTTAACTATAATCTTCGGGATAGCTGATGGAGGTTCTAAAATGAATAAGGTCTGCATATATATATGGAGATGATTTAAATTGATTTTGTTATCTTGTTCGATTTCAACTAACCTTTCACTGTAAGGCGATATGTATAGTTGAGGCTTCCAATTGGATTTTTAACTTGACAGACATATTGGCCAATATGTTCACGACCAACTCGCTCAATATGAAGATTAGGACCACGAACGCCTTGGCTGCTCGATATCCAGTCAGCCACGGCATTTCCCATGAACCATAGGTATTTGATTGGTTCTCTGCCAATGGCCTCACAGCTCATCCCAACCGATGAACCGAGTTCTGCATCTATTGTCATTACTGTATCCGGCCGGAGTTTGGGATTCATTAAGCATAGAACTAGAGGCGTGTGCAAAAGAAATCGAAAATATTATGCATGCCAGTGATATATTGGCAAACCTTCACTTTTACTATTAGGAATGGCCAATAAATACGCGTTAAAATGAGATTTTTAAAGTGATTCTTGAAATCAGCCCAAAACTCCACAACAAGGAACTTAAAACTTATTCCTATTGGCTAGGTTTATAACTGAAGTCAATTTGCAGTTAAAACCACGCGTTTTCCCCGACCTAGAAACCAACTCGGCAATTTCAGCTTCAGTTGTAGGGGGTGAAGTGAAAGTAATACAAGGTGATGGCCAATTCAATCAAATTATTTTGTCTAACAGCATATCCACGCGATTAAGTTAGTTAAAAGCAATGGAATTGTCATTCACAAGTTGGACGATAGAATGAAAAGCAGCTTACCTTGATTTCGATCTGTTGCTCCTGGATATGCCTTAACGCAGAGCAGATCATCGCTGGTATCTAAATTGAGAAATCTGCATCGTTAGCCAATAAAGTAGTATGATAAGTTGGAAAAATTTGAGACTAATCAATAACTTTTGCGCCAGATACAACACAATAAACCCTGTTAATTTAAGAAAATCGCAGCTTAGAAGGAAAATATGCTACAAAACACCATGCTAAATACTTTCAAGTTTAGCTTAGAGAGTATGCGTATCATTTGATTCTAGAAGTTTCATGCAGAAGAAAAGCCCTAGAACACTAGTTGGTGAACTTTATCTATTATTCGAATTATAATATGCGAAGTAATCTGAAATGCAGTATTTTTTTCAATTTTGAAATGAATGATAAAAATAATTTCACGAGGCTATCATAATCTAATGGTCAATCGCTGGCTGTTTTATTTATTTTTTTTTCCTTATCTGCCCTTTCTTTTCGAATTAATACTTAATTTCGGTTTCATTCCCCAGTCAATAGTTAACAGGAAGAGGATATTTCATTCTCATTCTGGCAAACACTTTGATATCACATATTTAATCTGAAATTCTAATATAACTACAGGCAGACAATTAAACGTCAATATTTTTACAATCATCATGTCAAATTCTGCTCTGACAGTTCCTGTAAGAACCGTGCATAATAAAGTTAACGTTTACAATCATGTATTCCTCTCCGAAATTGCTGTCAGTAAGCAGAAGCTTGTTAAGTCTTCAAGTTCATCTTGTGTTCATCATTTTTCTGCGTTGACAGGACTAGGCAATAAGGCAGAGAAAAGTAAGGAGCCTAAAGCTAATGCCAACTCATCAAGCTCTGTAATTGGGATAATTTGACAGTTCGCTGTCCGTTTGTTAGCGGCTATTTGCAGTGCTATTGGTGTGTCAAAATAAAGGTCACTTCTGGCTGGGCCCACTGACGTATTCCCTTCCAACGGAGTCTTCGATCGCTTCCAAAATCTGTGTGAAATGCTGCTGCCTGCAGGAGAATAACATCCCATTGACAGACTTCCTCACCAGCCCTTCACCAAAATATTCACTCAACAAATATATATAGCTTGTGGTTTATGCATGTTTTGTTATGCAAGTGTCAGATATAATGCAATAAAGACTGTCTTCTGACAAAAAGAGATTTCTCACTTCACTTTCACCCTGTCAACCATATTTCTCACTAACTATAGTGTGAAAACTAAAAAAAGATATTTTCTTCAAAAAGAAAATACATATATAAATACGCTTATCTTTACTCATATCACCTTACCAGCAATATTGACTTCGAATATAACCTTTTTCTGGCCAAATCCAGTAACTCCTGAGCACTGATAGATTCCAGCATCGGATTTAGTCACTGGTTGGGTTAGTTCCACGATGCGACCTCCTTCGAGGAAGCGGAAACGTGCGTCCATAGAGACGGCGTATTCTGGTAGGCCTTGAATGTTCCACTGATATATGATATCACTCATCAGACCGTCATCCAGATAGGAGGCATGGGAATTATCACCGTCTGGATCATTTGAGCCTCGAATTGGGCATTCTAAACGAAGGCGATCTCCAACGTGGAGGCTGATCTGTCGGTTATGGTTACTGACTACTGGAACATTTGCAAGGGCTAAAAAAGATAAATAAATTACAAAACGAATGAATACAAACTAATAACCTTCGTAAAACAATAGACCGTCTCAGTGGGCCACGCGGTAAGCAGGCAATTCATGCTTAAAAGTGACGATTTATCGTTCAAAGACTGATATCCGAAGCGTTGCTAATTTTGAGCATATTTAGCTAAGAAAAAATAAAAGCGGAAATTTCAACCATTGTGAAAGAGAGAACAAATAATTAAAGAACAAAATCTTTTTTAGCAAACAATCCACGAAAATGCAAGTCCTTTCCTGTTAAAGCTGGATTTATAGCCCCCTTGGCATTCACGGAATGAGCCTCAACCAAACAAACGACGATGTGGAAAAGCTATCATGGCACGGATATCCAAAAATTCGACTATTCAATGGGAGATGCATTTCCTCACTCCATCTGCTTAAAAGCATGAGTATGCACAGAGCTAATTAAGCCAACTTGCATTTCCTCCTTCAAATCCTCTCATTTTCCAAATAGGAGGTCGAGAGGTGTGCCAAATCAACTGTTACTGTCTGGGTCTATGGATGTGCACGCATGACACTACTCCGCATGAAGGGCACTCAAACGCCCTTCTTAAATAGAATTTCATTCCCCCTGACTCATAGTGGACATATGATATTCCCTAATGAATGGATGGACTCATCAAAGGCTATCAAACAGTTGGTCGTATGCAAATCGAAACATGCATTAATATAGTAATATCCCTGAGTCTTTCTAGGCCACATCATATGGGATCTCCATATCTCAAACACAGCAAAAAGAATCTTCGATAAGTATCCCAGTTATCTTCTCATATTTTTCTCCTGACATATTTGTCAAGATATATTAATGAAATTTAGCATCTTATTATTGGGACGTTTAAATGGAAGATTGATTATGGTGTTTAGCACTTCACTAAGCATGAACAGAAGCATATTTATTTTTCTGCTAAAATTTGAAAGGCTGGTGATACTGCCAGCGATTAAAATCAGTCAATCAATTTGACATCCCAATGCTGAATTTGCATCCCGGTCTGGGATGAAAGAGCATTACCCTGAGTGAGGGAAAAATTTAACGAGCATTGAATGCTTTCGTCAGGATCTAATGAAATATCATTCAATCATCGGTAGCTATATCAATAAATCACCGCGAACAACCAGCCTAGATACTATTTTCTATCCAGTATACCTTTGTATGCGGAATAGAGGGTGTGCGATAGACTTACCTCCACGTGGTGCACCCTGGGCAACGTATACTCATAAGGCAAAAAGGTCTATCAACCGGCAGTTGACTTCTCACTTCAAACTGTATGCCATATTCTATCACTTTCACAGTAATCACCCTACCTTTTCTCTGCCTTTGTGTCTGTCTCTTTTACAACTATAAACTACTCTTCTGTTCCCCACCCCTCGAATTTCTGTTGCTTTGATGTTCCTTCCCCCTGTGAAACCCGAAGTCAGCTAAAGGGCTAATGATAACTATCAAAACGCCCGTCATTTGAAAGAAATATATATGTGGAATAGGCGACCAACTTACGCTTCTCTTCACTACCAGTTTACGTCAAAATAATAGTCTTCACACGAAACACATACATGGATTCGATAAGCAATACATTTCACACGTTTATATATACTAAGTGTATGGTAACGAGGCCAAGGTGAGCCAGAAATGAATAATAAACGCGTGTATTTGTAGTAACTGAGTCTACCTGTTCACAGTCAGATATAACAAATGGGAAGAATTGAAATTGACAAATTATTGGTTTAAGTGGTGCAGCATCCACATGGGGTTACAGTCTTTCACGTCAAAGTATTTGGGGTATTAAAAAGTGAATATATTGCTTAATCAACGTCTTGAAACGTTGATAATGAAGAAAGAAAGCATCTGAAACCAACAAACTCCACGGCAGAAAATTGGTTAGCAAAACTCTTAAAAATCGATTCGATAGATCAGTCAATCAAATATCGCATCTAGGCTGGCTACGTGTGGCATGTTTGGCTAATTTTTTTTAAATTTTATCACATATCAGATCGCCTGGTTTAAATTGCTGATTAATTCGTATTTACTTGACCTAACGCAACGCCGTGTCCTTATGAACTTCGTTCCCGATAACCTCGTAATAAGCTCAAGTTCTCGTTAGTCTTCCTGACTAAAAATCCATAAAAATTTAACATAGCTAAAAGCAGACAAATAGTTACGTCTATATTACGATCATTAAGTAAACATTCAGAGTAGTAAATGTTTCTGTTGCCACAGTTATAGTGTCATTAAGTGGATCGGAATGTGTAAACAATAATGAATGACAGTAGGCGTCCGCCAATTTAATTAAAAGCGTCAGCTCAAGCAAAGGTCACTAACCCTTGAGAAATCGGACCGATTTTTAATGGTTGCTAGAAAGCACAGACTTACCTATCTTAAGTAATAGAACAAGGAGTAGATAATGGGGCACACTGACGATCTTGAATTCCATTGTTGATTCCTGAAATGGAGTGAAAACAAGGAATTAGTTCTTCAAAGAAGTCTCAATAGGAAAATAGGAGTTAGTAATGGCATGTTAGTTCTCAGCCAGTTTCTACTTCCAAACTATTCAGTTGATTCTTTTTCTAAGGTGGATTAATATGACAAGGAAGGCAAGCGAACCAGGCGTGAGAATAGTGGTGAGTTTGTACCTGCATTAATAAGGAGGGGCCTTTAATTAAACAGGCTAGGGGAAGTAATCAACTGCACTGACTCTCAGAGCAGAGTTTTGACATCTTCTTTGGTGGGGTGGGGGGGGGGACATTGGGGCGTGAATTTCTAGCGTTCAATTTGACCAAACCACCTGTCAAGCTTATATGGCATTCCACGTGCACACTTTTTACCTTCTAAAATCATTAATCCATTTTAACTATCAATTTTTTTTCATGTGAGTGTTTGAATAAGGATGCAATATAGAGGGCGGGGAAGAAATCGATGACAAAAGACCTTGAGATTAAAATAAAAAACTTTTCCTCGAACACCTGCTAATTCAGTTGTCACAGAATTTTGGCCAACTGAGCGAGAAGTAACATCTCCAACATGGACTCACAACAAAATGCTTCCAGATTCCTTGAATCAGCGAAACAATAAAATTCCATAGGTTAGAGATATTCAAATGTGGTAATCATTCCGAACGAACGAATCAATTTTATCTCAGTAAGTAGAGGGGGGAATTCAATTAAGCTATTATTTGTGCCTCAAAAGTTAGAGAATAAGAGCGAACCCGGACAGGACTAGTATTGCTCCAGGTTGAACAAAATGAACAGGTGTTCGAATATTTCAAACTGACCAGATTTGTGAAGAGAAAATGTGCAAAGTTTGACAGAAAGCGAAGTAACCAAAGATTTTGCTGCCAGCACTTTAATTTCCATCCGCTTTTTACTATTAATGGTTCAAGAAAACCCCATATACTGTTCGATCATGAGTTATAAACTCATAAATCTAAACATGACGACTAGTATTTAGCCATTGGAAACATCTTCCTTTCCGGTAAAATATTAAAGGTGATATTTTCAACAAAAAAAACTTTCTGTTAACTCACTTTCACCGAGAAATGAGTTAAGAGATGCTACCTTTCAGTGGTATTCCCTGCTTACTTGCAATCGTAGAAAATCACTAGGAATAATTGATCACTGTAGCGCTCCAAGGACTGGGTTAATTAGTGGTTTTATATGCGAAGTTAGAAGATAGGGAAAATTAAGGTAGTCCATAGGAGGGGGGGGGGGGGGGGGAATAAGTTCAATGGTAATGTCCAAAATTAAACACAAATAATAAAAGACGCAAACTTTGTGCCCTGATAATGATACGCTACAGTAGTATTTATGGAAAGAGACAAGATATATCAGGTTTCTGCTTACCCTAATGAAGCAGTAGAGTTCCACCACAATCAAAATCTCTATGTCATATATTTGTCAGTGCGTAAGTACTATTTGCTGATGTGAGCTGAGCGAAGAAAGAGAAGAGAAAGGTGTTAAAGGAAGGATGAAGCTTCTTCAACTGCACATCCTTGCTGCAGCACTCATTCACATGCGCATTGACCGTGCGTCGTGACCCCAACCAATCACATCGCGCTCAGCTTCACTGTGATTGGTCCGAATGACACATGCAACTGGGCGCGCATTATGAATGCGCGTGCGGTGCTCCTCCCACAAGGCACTTGTTGTGCTGTCGTAGGATGGGTGGGGAATCCGGAGTTTGGGGTAGAGTGAAGGGATGCAAGAGGAGGGAAGGGATAACTAAGACGGAACCGAGGGGGGGGGGTGGCATTTAAAATTGAAGATGTCCAAAATGGTAGTCTCAGCTTCAGCAGTGGGTAAATAAACAATCGTGATTGATTAATCAGAAAATCTGTCATTCAAGTTTCTATTTCCTCCTCCTCTTTCTCTGTGATCGACTGTAGCGGTTTGTCTGCAATTTACTCCTGCTTAGATTAAATGAGGCATAATCTATTTGCACGCCACTTAATTAAAAGCATCTCAATAATGCTTCAAAAAAAGTGACCATTAAAAGCAATTTTAGTGAATTGTGTAGAGCTAACAATTTGGGATACTATGGAATGATGATTTTAACGTCATTACTAAGTTACTTTTATCTAAATGATCAGAAATTATACAAAGTCAAAACAAATGTGAAATGAGGAGATTTAGAACTCGAAAAAGTTAGGTATCTGAAATTTAGTATTAATTTTTAAAAATCCTAAGCCCTAGAGTTGGAATGAAATTAAGTCTGATGACTTTTGTTTACTAATTATGTTTAAGCTATATAATGAAAATAAGTTACATTTCAGTTTAAAATCCGATTGCCTCAAAGTTATCTACTGGACATAATTTCAGTCATTGCGGAGGGAGATAGCTTCCATCTACTGAGATAATTCAAGTGATCAACTACGATCCCATTTTTCATTAGGCAGTCAAAGCATAGTCTACTACTAAATATTATTATTATTATATCAAATGGCAGGCGTTTTGATTGTTATCATTAGCCCTTTAGTTAACTTCAGTCTTCACACAGGGGACGGAACACCAAAGTGTAAAAAATTCAAGAGGGGAGGGGGGGGGGACAGAAGAGTGTATCAAAGACAAAGGTAGATAAGGTGGAAAAAAGGTGGGATGAGTACTGTGAAAGTAGTCGAATACGACATACAGTGGGGTCATGGTAGTTTGAAGTCAACTGCCAGGTAATAGACCTTTTTGCCGTATGAGTATACGTTGCCCAGGGTACACCACGTGGAGGTAAGTCTATCACACACCCCCTACTACTAAATATCGAAGAAGCGTTTTAATAATCATATGCACAAATACCTAGCACAATATTCATTTCTATCAAATTAGATTAAAAAGTAATAGTTTCTTCCTCTCGCTCTGAGAATGTGTGATCACAATTCACGTCGGATCATGTCAAAAAATGCATACACACTGGAAATAAATGTAGACATAGTGAGTCCATTGTCATTTCATAATTTCAAATGTGAACACATATTTTCAAGTATCATTTTATTGTTTTTTTAACTGCATTTTACTACATTTTAAACAATTATAGATAGACCGAAGAATACAGTATTGTGAGTGGTATTTAGAATGATGTATTGGAAAAGTTGATTTGTCAAGAAAGATTATCTGGAGTGACGAGGTCACATTCAAGTTGAACGAGTACATTAACTGCCATAATTGTACCCTTGAGGGCCCTGAGAATCCACACGTTACTATCGATCATCACGTAACTTTAATCGGAATTAAAGCGTGGTGTGGTTTATCATCAAGAGAATTAATTGGACCGCGCTTTTATGACGCTACTGTAATAGGTCCCATTTACTTGAACCTTCTGTAGCAGTCCGTTGTGCCGAGCATTAAAGAAGACTTTGAGGCTGAGGAGTTTTAGTTTCAGCGATGTTCGGCCTTGCCTTGATGAGGTCTTTTCAAACAGATGGATTGCACGAAGAGGTTTAGTTGAATATCCTCCCCGTTCACCAGACCTCGCAAAGTCACCTTTAGGAAGCCTTCAGCAGTCACTGAATTAAGAGAAGCCATTGAGTATGAAAGCGATCAAATCCCAAGGAAATTATTTCATGATGTGTGCGATTCCATTGCTTACCATTGTCAGCAGTGTCTGGATCAAAATTGACGTCAGTTTAAGAACAAGCAGTGAATAACAATTAAATTATACTTTTAAAATAGTAAAATTCAAAGCAAACACCACATTTGTAATTAGTTTCAATGTGTATACATTTATTTGGGTATTGGTATTCGATAAATTATGATTTTGAAACTGCATTAGCGGACCAAGTCTTGAGTAATGGAGAAAATAAAAATGCAGAATTCTTTCATTGAAATCAGAGGAGACATGTCAGTGTGAGGTCCTTCTCACCAAGCTGTCAAATAGACTGATTTATCGCTACTGCAGTTTCTTCATCCTTCTCCATATAAAATGCCCATAAATCAGACTTATGTTACTCACTCAAGCCACCCCCCCCTCTCCCAACCCACTCTCCATCTTCGCTTCCTCCTAGAATTCTCCCGGTATTTCACTCCATATAAATTTTGACATATCCAGGAGCCTTTCAAAGTGGGGTGGGACAGGGTGGATGAGCATATTTTTGAATTCAACTGGTGGTCTTATTTCTTGATGGATATGCTCCAAAGAGAAAATGATTTATTTTGACTGATATTTTTCCAACTTTCTTTATGTTCCTGTTATTATATTAAGTAATTTTTGCTAAGTTCCTCGTTTAAATCGCGGTGGATGGGCATATATCCTTATTTTTTTCGAATTGGAGTTACAAATGTTCTAATGCGTAAGCGCCTAACTTTATTATTTGGGATGAAAACTTACTTTCCAATTACTTTTTGTACACATGATATTCTGTTGAAAATTCCACCTCACATATAATGAGAAAATAATTGGCTAATCGGCCTCAAAAATGAACAAGAACAAACACTGCGCATTAAAATTTAAAGAATTCAAAATTGTAATTAAATTTATTTTGATTAAATTACCGAAAGAATACAAATGAGGCTGATTATATCGAGAGTTAGGTTTCCAACAATTTGATCAATTTTATGGAAAAATATATCCTACGATGTTCCACAATCCTATGAATGAAAACGTATTTATTCAAACACCACTGTGAGAGACAATTTAATTCATAACAATGAAGCTCGTTTTTCCTTGTTTCGCTCACCATTATAAAGCCAAATAGTTTAATTATAATGGCATACGAGGGGTGTGCGATAGACTTACCTCCACGTGGTGCACCCTGGGCAACGTATATTCATACGGCAAAAATGTCTATTATTCGGCAGTTGACTTCTGACTTCAAGCTACCATCACCTCACTCTATGCCATATTCGACTGCTTCCACTGTACTCACCTCACCTTTTTTCTACCTTTGTGTCTGTTTTTTTTACATCTTTGAAACACTCTTCTGTTCCCCCCTCTCGACTTTTTTTCAATTTG